CTGGGGAATTCTGGGAGTTGAAGTTCACACATCTTAAAGTTGCCAAGGTTGAGAAACACTGTGTTAGACTAACTCATAGAAAACAGCAAACTTGTTTGCAAGGCTCTCTCATATAAACAGTAGAAGAGAACTTTCATCAGAACAACATTCATTCTTTTTTATTTTGTGATTTTTTCCCCATCTCAGAGAGTCTAATTCCCTCACTGAACTTGTCCTATACATTTAACAGTATAGCCAGCCCAGCCTACACTTGTAACTTATTCTTCTGATAGCCTAGCGAGGTGGTACAAGGAGCTATAGATTTGGAAGAGGTTTTTTTTTTCTTCCTTTTCCTGATAATTGGCAGGCAGATTCACAATGGTGGGCAAAGTCCTTTCTTGAGAAGTTTGCATGTGGCAGATTCCTAAAAAAAGCCTGGTATTGAACCAATTCTCTAAAAAGCCTGGCATCATTTACTCCTCCTGCTGAAATGCAGTCTATAAACCTGTGGATTCTCCAGATGGGCAGGTGAACTTCATGTGTAGATAAATCAAGGAGGCAAGCCCTAGCTCATGAAAAGACTGGTAAAATTAGTCTTGTGCCTAAATACACATCTGTAAGTTTTCTAGAAGCTTCTGCCCTAATTAAAGAGAAAACTGGTATTAGGCGTGAGCCTTAGGAATTCCCCTATCCCTCACACACACAGAAAAAATTATTCCCTTTTAGCATTTTCCAGAAAAGATTTGATTGAGATATTTCTGAAAACATACCATTTTGTTCTGAGCTTCTGTAGAAGAGAATGATCCCAGCTGTTCTTGCTCCTCAGATACACACTGTCTCCAAGGAATATCAATCCCAACAGAATGCCTTAGCAGGTGATACCATCTTTTAAAGCCAAATCTTTCAATGTTTGCACAGAGGGCATTTTTCCAGTGTCAGAGCTTTCTGTTTTCTGTTTTCTTTTTCAAGAAGCAGAAAGATAAAATTATATATTACCTATTAAAAAAAAAAAAAGTCTGATTGGAGTACTTACTGACTCCGGGAAGTAATAAATAAACTGACTTCAACTTTATAGAAAGTGTTGTCACCACCTTGAGTAAATACTGCTGGAGTGAACATGAATTCTCAATAAAAGGTCAAAAAAATAAAAAGCCCAAGAACAATACTGTTCAACTCCCAGCTTCTTTCAGGGTGTTGTTCAATTCTCTTACTGGCTTTACTACCAAGTTTAATTTGGTTTCTTCTAAGCTCTTCCAGGAAATGAAGATAAATTCATGGCAGGAAATGCAAAGGCAATCAAAAACTGGTACCTGAATTTGTGTGATGCCATTCATGAATATAGGTAATGATTTAGTTAGAGCTAGGCAAGAAATAAATAAATCACTTACCTCAAAGAACTACATTTTAATCAATGTATAATCAGGATCTCTGACTTTCTAGTACCTTAGCTGCCAACTGGGTTTTGAACAAGCCAAGCTGGACTACTTGATAGTTTCCTCATCTGCCTTTGTAAGGCTGATCAGGTGCTATGGGGAGCCCCCCCCCAAGGTGTTTGTGAACCCCAAGAGGGCCCTGATCCACTGTTTCGGAACTCCTGTACTATCCCCTTCAACATAAGAGCTCCCTATCTTTTTGCTTTGCATTCCTTTACTTTTCATTTCATACATTAGTTGTAATAACTCTATTGGCTAGCATTCTTCCTTCCATTAAAAAAAAAAACAATAAATACCTTGAAGAAGCATTATAGGGTTGCCTTCTGCTTTTTTAAAATGTAAAGGTGGCCAGCGGGTCCCTTCCAACTTCTTTAAGCATTAACAATCCCACCTTGTTTATAACTCTTTGCAAAGCCTGTCTCATTTTCTCAGTGCTCTCTGGACTGACCAAACGGGTTGGACTTTATAAAGCTTAAAGAAAACTGAAAGAGATTCCTATTTCTGTTTAGTCAACCAATTTTTTTTTTTTTAAATCCATACAAACATGTGTGGAACCTGAAAATGCTTTGCCAAAGCAGCAGTAGAGATCTGCACATCTCAACCATATGTCTATATGATGGGGAACGCTTTGGAAAAGCTTGGGAGACTACTTTTAAGGCATTCCCCAAAATATTGTAGCCAGGTAAAGTTAGTGCTCCCAGAGCTCCTATGCTTTAATAGCGAAGCAAAGGAAGGGATGCTGATAAATTCCTTCCTTGATTTAAAGGGAGGAACCATGGCTTATTATAAACCAGCCAATCTTCCCCTAGGCTCCAATTTATTACATGGACAACTACCTTGGTGATCTGGATTCACTCTCAAAATGATATTCTCTGGATAGTGTTCCACTTGTTTCTAGTGGAACCTCTACCTAGGAGCAAGTTAAATTAAACTAGATTAATTTCTTCCCACTGCTTTTATGCAACATAAATAAAAAGCCGATTATCCTAGGAGTACATAGAAGGCCTCCTGTTTTTCTTAGCAAGAAGCTCAGAGATGATAAACACACCTTATCTTGGCTTATCTTGATAGCAAGTACACTCCATTAATCACTGGCTCTCTTGGGAAATGGCAAGTAAATTCCCTTCCAGGTGCTATAATTCATTGTCTGGAACTGGTATCTTGGTTTAACATGATCTAAGAAATATTCATTGCAAAGTTGATTAGAAAGTCCCATCAGCAACCTGGCAGGGGAGGCACTTAGTGTGGTGTGGTATCATTTTGTGATTGTCAGCCTTTCTCTTTAGGCAGTGCAAATACAGATGTGCCTGTTTACATTTTGATTCAGAAACACTGGGTTATATTTCAGTAGTGTCCTTCCAATTCAGAAATTGGCAACCTATCACCCCAAAATTGCATGTCTCCTTATATTGAAAATTGGGCCATGTGGCCTTTTTGCCATCTCTGGAAAAAATGAGATTTTTCTCCCATTTTGAGGCAGGAAACTTATGAAAATTCTAGTGCCTTCAAAATCTACTAGCTGAAAAGAATCGATATGAACAGGGCAAGAGGTTGAAAAGGTTACCAGTCTACAACAAAGTAAATCTGATCATTTTTTTTTCTATATAAACTGATGTTAATTATTCAGAGAAAACCTCCAACTGTCAGTTTCCCTGCCCAACATCTTGATAGAGGCAGTATGAAAAATCATTGTCACCTTTTTCTGTGCAGATAGAATGGAGGCAGAGAAGTAAATCCTCTTCTCTGCAAAGACTGCCAAGGAGTAGGATTTCAGATGAGCCTTAAAAAACACTCCACTCCACATTCAATCAAAGCTATCCCAGGAGCTCTTCCACTTGCACTCCAGCCTATCTGCTTCATAGCTCTCAGCTCTCTCTCCCTGGAAAGCCATGGGAACAATGTAGCTCTGCCAGAGAGAAGAGGCAGACTACAAATAAAATAAATAGGAGTGATAGGCTCAGCTGCCCAGGCCATCTCCATGTCCAAAAATCAGCCATGGCTTCAATAACACTGACAGACAGGTAGAAAATTCTCCAACAGCATTGCTCCTAGGTAGAGGTTCCACTAGAAACAATTTTTGAATGCTGTTTATATAGAGGGGGAAAAATGATCAGATTTTGAAGGCATGGATAGTACATGTGAAAAGATGAAGGTGGCTACTACCTGTTTGCTCAAGCTGTCTACTTAAATCAGCTAGGACAGGATAGTTCCCATGGTTAAGGAAGAGGACCAATGCATCCTGGAGGGTACAATATATTCTTACCTGTTTAAATGAGGCAGTTATTTAAAAAAAAGCGGGGGGGGGGGAGAAAGGCTTATTGAAAAAGCCCTCCTTTGACCCAGAAGGTCTCTGTAAATCTAGGTCAGCCTCAGATATTCCATTGGTGATTAAGGTGCTAAGAAGGTGGTAACTTCACAGCTTGGGACCCATTTCAGTTAGGATTTTGTTTGAGATATGGTTACCCTAATAGATGACTGGAAACTAGGTGGGTGGAAGTGTGATTCTGGCTGGTACTCCTGGGCCTCTCAGCAGCTTTTGATACCATACCTTTGATATTCCTTAGGGCCATCTGGCAGGGTTTGGCTTTGGGAACACTGTTTTTCAGTGATTCTAAATCACTATTCAGTGGTACTTCTTGGGATATGTCCAAAAAGTGAAATTGCGGGATTATTGTTTCATTCCTAGTCATTAAACTATAGTGTCCCACAGGTTCTATCTTTCCCCTACGTGTTTAACATCTACACTAAAGTTCTGGAGGAGGTCACTCTGAGCCTTAGAATTGAGCGCCCTCAGAATGCTGATGACATCCAGATCTACTGCTCTCTACCATTTAGCTTCCAAGAAATAATCAGTGTGTTTGAAGATTGCTTAATTTCAGTAATGATCCGGATGAGGGTGAACAAGCAAATTAAATCCAGATAAGATAGCAGTATTGTTGGTAGGGAGGAACCTAGGATTGAGGGATTTAAATAAAGCCCACTTTGGTTGGGACTGCATTCCCCCAGAAAGAACAGGTTTGCCGTTTTGGAGGGCTCCTTGTTCTCAGCTCTTATTGGATGTCAAATGCTGGTTGCAGCAGGGAGTGGAGTGCATTTGCACAACTGCAAGCATTCCTGAGCAGTTGCATCTGGTAAGATTTTTTTTTTTTTT